TTCAATCTCTTGGCCGAATGCCTTCCCAGGCTCGCGAAGGCGGCCCGAGAGGCCCGCAAGATCGCCGATGTTGGCCGAGGTTTGCGAGGGCTCCAGCGGGCACACATGGCTTTGGCAACGATGGCCCCAGGATCACCCGAGGTCACTCCAGGGAGGGGCAGGCGGGGGGTCGGACAACGCCCGCGGCGGTTCGGACAGCGAACCCTGCTTAAAATTGGCAGGCGCTGCTGTCAGTCGTCGTGACGATTCTTTCCGTACTCACTTCGATCGTACTGAAAAACTTGCGGAGGTCCGCGCGGATTTCTTGGATCGCCTTTGGGCACCCCTGGCGAAATCTCTGGCGCCGCCCCTTGCGCGCTCCGCGCGCCAGGGAGGGGGGTCCAGGGCCTCCCCAGGACCCTCGGGCCCCCGCCCCCACGGGGCCACCCGGACTCGGCTCGGGCCGAACGAGAGGGGGGGATATATCCCCCCCTTTCGTTCGGAAAAGGGGGTATATATCCCTATAGGGAAAGGGGGGGGTACGAAATCTGCTGCATGCAGCCAGGTTCGGCCCCGCCGCCGGGCCCCTTCCTCGACCCATGGGCGCCTCCCAGCGCCGGGAGGCGCCGGGGAAATCAGCGACGTGAGCTGATTCTCACCCCCCCCCCCTTTGCTATCCCCCGCTTTCGCCCGGCCCGACTGGCGCGCTCCGCGCGCCAGGGAGGGGGGTCCGGCGCGGATCCAGGAAAGCCGCGCGGAGCGCCACAAGTTTACGTTCATGGCGTTGTCCTCTTCTTCTCAGGAAGGAGAAGGAGACGGACGGGGAGACTCTGAGTGTGCTTCAGCGGATGGGGCGCAGCGTCGAAGCGCCCAGAAGCATTTGCGCAGGGCGCGGTGAATGGTCTCTCCTTCGGTGAGCAAGGGCTTGGCACTGTGGGACGCGGCTGCCGTAGAACGCATCTCTTGCAGCTCGCGCGGCTGGGTGGCCGACCAGGTCTGGAGAGCGGTGCGGACCTCGCCATGACGTGGCCACACTTCGCGAATTCAAGGTCTGAGGTCTAGCTGATGTCTAGCACCCTAGCTCTGAAGCGTCAGGGTGCCAACGCAGACTCTGCCCTTGGCCACGCTCCAGGGGTCTTTTCGCCCACCCTTGCGTGCTCGGGGCGACCCGGCACTGGTCCCCGCTCTTCTCCTCCGTGCAGCGGGATCGAATTGAAGGAGGGAGGTGAAAGCATGAGAGGGAGGAGGGAGGGAAGGAGGGAAGTGAGGAAGGCAGCGTGGGTGCCAAGAGGGTGGGCAGCGAGGGTGTACGGGTCGAGACGGGAGGCACCCCTGGTGGCAGACGTCTTGTTGCACCTGTGGCCAAGGCGAAGGGCAAGGCGTCACGGCCGCACCCTTTCTCTCTCCATGGAGGAGGAGGAGGAGGAGGACGAGGAGGAGGAGGACGAGGAAGAGGAGGAGGAGGAGGAGGAGGAGGAGGAGGAGTAAGAAGAAGAGGGGGAGGAGGAGCAGGAGGAGCAGGAGGAGGAGGAGGGGGAGGAGGAGGAGGAACATCAGGGCAAGCTCCGCCACCGTGCCATCGCGAGGCGACGCTTCGAGTGCCGCCCAGAAGGCCACAGCATGCGACACCTCCAGTCTCTGTTGTTTGAGGGGCTCTCGTGGAGCCTGCCTGGGCCGTTCCAGGGCTCCCTTGGGCTCCTGCGGGGTCCGCTCAGGCCCGTCTTCGAGGCCGTCGTGGTACTGTATTGGGCCGTGGGGCCATGGAACCCTCCTGGCCATCAGGTGAGGTCTCTCGGGGCTGTCTTGGGCGGGGGCCTCTTGGGATTCTTTGGGCCATCCTAGGGGGCTCTTGGAATGTCGTGCGCCCTCTTGGGCCGTCTCGGGGCCCGCCCTCATTAAGCCCTTTTGGCGTCTCTCGGGTCCTCCTGGGCCCTCCTGGAAATCGGAGGCGAGGGGGTGAGATCGCAGTGAAACGGAGAGCCCCCCACCGGGAAATCGGTTTCGGTCTCGTGTTCGTGTCGCGCGTGTGGGCGGGTGCCGGGGGTGTCCCGCCGTGGTGTCCCGCCGTAGTGTCCCGATGACGTCCCGTCGTGTCCCGTGGTGTCCTGTGAGGTCGATAGTGAGAGGGACGGTGAGATCGATAGTAAAATCGATAGTGAGAGGGGTAGTGAGGTCGATGGTGAGATCGATTGTGAGATTCAAGGAGATCGATCCAGTGAGATCGATTATGATATCGATAGTGAAATCGAGTGAGTGAGACGTTGGTTCCTCCCCAAAAACTCATCATCACCCGAAGGGTGGTCGTATAGGTATGTTGAGCCAAGAAGCCCTTGAAACTCAACACATGTCAATGATTGATGGCTTCTTCAAGTGTCGAATGGTTCTGACCCTATTGGGATTGTTCAGGGCCTTCTCTGGTGTCTTGGAAGCCTTATGGGGCCTCTGCGGCGCCTGCTGGAGCCTTCTCGGGGACCGCAAGGTGCTTATGTGTTGAGGCAATGCTGGGCAATTTTGGCGACCTTGGTGGCTTGCTTGGGCCATGTTCGAAATCTTCGCAAGCCTTAAGTCGGGCCTGTCCCTCTACAGGAGGAAAATTCAGTCAAACAATAGTCTGGGGACGATTTTGTTGAGCATGTTGTTTTCAATATGTTATGTATATATTTATTTATTTGTCGTCCAAAACCTGCCTGAAGGAGGACATGCCCGACCTAAGGCCATTTTCGAAACCTTTGCAAGCCCCAGGGAGTGCAGCGCCGTGCGACCTCGCGCGCGCAGGAGAGGCCCCCCGAGGGGGGCCCCGGGGTTCTCGAGCTGCGTCTCCGGGCGGCCCTCGTGGGGCAGAGCAGGAGGAGACAGCGCGTCGCGGCACCACGCCGGCGCTGGCGGATGCACCGCCGCCATCCCCGGACGGGACCGCCCATGTGCAGAGGGCCTCCGGGGATGGCGCGTCGGCCTGGCCGGTCGAGGCCCGGGCGGCTGCACGTGCGCAGGGGCCCTGGCCAGGGGCGGCGGTGGCCCACGGCAGCCGAGCACGAGGGTGCGGGTCCAGCAGCGGCGAAGCGTCCCGGCTCGCCTACCTTAGCCACGCGCAGGGGGGGGTGGGGGGAGGGGGGGGGGCTTCTTAGAAGCACCCCTGCTTCTTAGAAGGCGCGGCCTTATCTATCGATGTAAGGCCGGCGCCTTCTAAGAAGCAGCCTGCTTCTAAGAAGCCCTCCCCCCTCCCCCCACCCCCTTGTGCGCGGCGCCAACTACCGTCGGGCATAAGTCAGGAGGGAAAGAAACACACAGACACAATTAATCGTCGATTCCCAGGAAAATATGGGAAAATATGGGAAGTGGGGGGGAAGACAAAAATCCCAGAAAATATGGGAAAATATGGGGAATATTTTTATTTGTGTGTATTTATTTGTGTGTCCTGGGACCCCTTCAATAAGCAGGGCCCCAGGTAGGGGGACCCCGTTAGTATTCAGTGGGGCCCTGGATCACCCCAAATGGCCAGAGTGTCACTGAACCAGGTCTGGTGTTTTTTCGGGTGACGGCAGTTCCGGTCAATGGAACGGGGCGGGGGGGGGGGCGTCCCCCAGTAGACATTTTTGAACCAGGTCCCACTAAACCCAGTTCTGCCAACGCCCGATGCATGCCCACCAAGCGGAGGTTGATAGACCTCCTGCCCTGACACGTCGATCAGGGGACTGGCCGTTTTCGGTTCGCGAGATGGCGTCGTGGCCGTCCTTTTCGCGGGTCCAGGTCCGTCGGTTTCGGTCCTAGGCCGTTTTATTTTCACGACATGGAGGTTTACTAAAGGGAGGTTTGTCCACCGCCGAACCAAAGAATGTTCTAAGAACCTTTTGTGGTCTGCACGACATGTTATCACAACAGTTCTGGCTGGGGCTGTCTTAGCACATCAGGTTATGTTCTGAGAACATGGTGGTTGTGTTCGGAACATGTTTGGGTACCAGGAACATGTCGTGGTAGGCCTGGAAGAATGCCGGGACGGTCGGCCCCTGCTCAAACGGATGGGCAACCTTCCTCCAAGGGTACCCTCGCAGCCGTGCCTCTTTGGTCCATCCTGGACTGCGTTCGATGGCAGGCCCCGCTCGAGGAGCTTCGGCGCGGGCGTCCGAGGGGCTTGCACCCGCGTTGCGCATGTGTAGTTGTATGGTCAGCCTTGAGTGTAGCAGCCCGTCCTGGACATGCCCGACCTTTCCCGGTGTCTGCATCCAGTGCCCCTCGCATTCTCTCCCCCACTGGTGCGCCTCTGAGCGGCTTCGTCTCGCAGCTCGGATGCCGGGCCTGGACCCAGCGTTGGCCTTCTGGTCGAGAGTTCCTGAAGTTTGTTGCCCTGCGCCGAGTCATCCCGCGCTCTACTCCTGCTGCCACTCCTCCCCGCCGTCCTTACCGCTCCTCCTTCCTCCCTCCCGCCCTCCCTCCCTGTGACATCCCCTCCCTCCCTCCCGCTTTGCCCGCCCCAGTGGGAGTGCGGACAGCTCTGTGTGACAGCGGGCACTGTCCAAGGCCGCTTCTGTTCCTCGTGGTCGTCCGAGCTGCGAGGTCGAAGCAGCCAGATGAACCGTCCTCTTGGACACAGTCGGATTGTGTTTGTCATCCGCCATGGTGGCTGAAGTCACCGAACGTTTCGTTTCCCCGTTTCGCTTGACTCGCCAGCGCAGTCACTCTGCCTAGCCGCCGACGTAAAAAAGTTGTTGTCATCCGCATCTGCATATCTCTCTCCTTACGATCCCCATGTGAATTCCTCTTGACCCAAGGGCCAAGGGGTCATCCTCCTCCCCGCCCCGCGCCCTCGTCATCCTCCGCCGCCTACGCACTCCTCCTCCTCTCTCGTCCTCGTACTCATCCTGGTCTTCCCATCTTCTGAGCACTTGCCCGGAAGCACCGCCCGTCCTCCCTCGGTGTTCGGATTGATTCCGCAAATGTTGCCGACCCTTCAGGCCAATGTGGCAAAGGCGGCCGCGCGCAAGCAGACGGGCTCAGAGCTGGACTCTTGGGTGAAGGACCCCGAGGCCCCCGCGGCCTCTACTCCAGTTCTCTCGTCTTATCCTCTTCCTCCCTCCTCCCTCCTCCCTCCTCGCTCTCCCTCATCTTCCCCCTTCCCTCTCTCCTCCCTCCTCCTCGGAGTGTCAGCTTCCTTCCAGGCGGGGCCGGCATCGGAGACGCACTGCCGCGACCCCTGTTGCTCCTGCCCTTCCGCCCACGCCGCACGAAGCGGACCGCATCCCTCCTCACCTGGCCAAGATACGACATAGACATAAACATGACTTAAGTCGGGCACGTCCCTCTACAGGAGATAGATTCAAAACTAGTCTGAAAAAAAGCAGTCTTGGGACACTTGTTTCACTATGTTTGACTACGTTTGAATGTTTGGACTATTTTCAGTGTTTCCAAACTCCGCTTGCAGGAGGAACTTCCCGACCCAGAACTGGAGACGTCCGCGTACGCACCCCCCAGGGGAGAGCTCCTCTCGGGGTTGGACAGACCTCCTACCCTGACACGTCGATTAAGGAATTGGCCGTTTTGGGTTCGCGAGAGGGCGTCGCGGCCGTCATTTTTGCGGGTCCAGGTCTGTCGGTTTCGGTCCCAGGTCGTTTTCACTAAAGGGAGGTTCACCAAAGGGAGGTCTGTCCACCGCCGAGGATGTCGTCAGCCGAAACGGCTTCAGTTCCCCTCATGGTCCCCGTGGTCTCTAGTTCTCACTGGCCCCCCACTCGTCCTCCCGGCTCTCCTGGCGTCGGTCTGGTGTGGGCTCGAGGCAGGTCGGCAGGTGGTGTCTTTTGCTCCCCGGGGACCTCTCGACGGAACCACTGGAGCCTTTGCTTAAAAAGGAGGATCCGCCTGGGTATGGTAACACCTAAGATGCAACCATGTCCAAATCGGGGGCGGCAAAGAGGGGGGTGATGACTAGGGGGGGGGGATATCATGGCGGGGGCCATGATATTTCCCCAGATTTCATGGCGCCCCTTCTTATTTCATTACGTTCCTGGCCCCCCCGCTGGGCCGCGCACATGCCGCCGGTCACGATTTGTACCCCCCCCTCTTTGACGCCCCCCTCTTTGCCGCTCCCGATTTTAAAAGGAGGGTCCACCTGGGTATGGTAAGACCTAAGATGCAACCATGCCCAAAGTGTGTACAAGCGCTTGCCACAGTGGTGGAGGATGGGAAGGGGAAGGGAGCTGGGGTAGTAGTGGGTGGTGGGTGGCAGCTGGTTGTGCAGATGGCGTCGACGTGCTGGCTGGAGTCGGTCGGGCACCCATCGCACTGATAGTAGGCTATGGATTCCATGCCTGCCCCAGGTATTCATAAGCTGTGAGTCGTCGTCACTCTGCTCGAAATCCGAGTGCCGGCTAGTATCGATCCGTGCTTGCTCCCCTGACTTGCCTGGCGAGCTCGCCCAGTGGTTGTAATGTTTCGGGATAGCTGCTGGTGTCGTTCGCCGTGGGTTCCTCCCTCTCCTCTGGCCAAGGGAGGTGTGGCCTGTCCTGGCTCGCGTTGAGTTGTTGTGTGCGGATCCTGCCTCGTGGTGGTAACCAGCCGCTACTTACGCATTGTCTCTTGAGCTGCAGCTGCCTCTCCACCGCTCGCCCAGAAATCCGTTTCTCGGCCCTGGGCCTCGCCCGAGCTCCGCGTTGAGGTCAATCATCACGTACCCCGGTGCCTCTTTGAAGTACTGCCAACCTGAATAACAAGGATGGGCGACATTCCCAAAGGTAACCTTGCATCCCTGCCTCCTCGGCCCATCCTTGGCCACTTGCGTTGGCCGCGCCCCGCTCGAAAAGCTTCGAAATGGGCTTCCACGGGCCTTGCATCCTCAGATTGCATCCTTATGATACGGGCCCGCTGTACTGCGGGAATTAGCTGTCCAAGATCTCGAGTTCCTCCTCTGCCAACTTCCTGAGGTCCATGGCAACCCTTCGCACGGCAATGGGCTGATGATGTACAATGTTCCTTTTGGATGTCATCGTCCTCTCGGCCGTTCGGTTTGCACGCCTCCGCCTATTTGCACAGGGAGATTGTCTCTGGCACGACGTCATTGCCATTCTCTGGCGAGGCCGCTTGCATCCAGTGTTGTGGAATGTCTAGGCTCCATGACAGGGTGGTGTCCAACATTGCCTCGCTCTCGAGCTTCTTGTGCAGGTGGTAGATGGTTGCCAGGACCAGCGCCAGGAATACATGATGAAGTGACGTTCCGAGCTTGTGGCTGTGTCTCAATGCTCTCGCTTGTCCCGCGTAGTCTCTTCCTGCGTGTGGCGCGTCTTTGAACAGTAGCGTCGACGCTGCTGCCAGCCAGAACATTGCTTCGCATGCATCAGCTCACGCAGGTCGTGGGACTTGCGCAGCGTGAGCAACTGCAAGCTCCTGATGGTCTGCGCCATGTCCTCCTGCCCGTCCCTGACTCCCAGTCCTCCTGGTGGTGGCCGGTCCCCGCTTCCTGATGAGCTGGCCAACGACTCTGACGGCATGCCAATAATGGCTTTCTGTTGAGCTGCGCCACCTGGTCTTGCTTGTATTCTGGCTACCGGCATGAATCCCTGATTTAGTGGCGTGGCACTCGTGGTCATTTACAGTATCCTATGCTGTCCCTTACCGATTGGAGCCCCTCGTGGTGGCAGCGTACGTGTGTGTGTGTATGTGAGTGTGGAAGTCCGTCAGGCAGTGTGCTTCATTGCCACATATATTGCATGTCAGTTCATGTGGTATGTCAACCGCGTGCGCCCGTCTGCTTCTGTCTCGGAAACAGATTATGTGTCCTTCCGCGTCGGTGGCATGGTCGATCGTTGCCCGTCGGTTCGCAAAAGTATTGAGGCACCATGGGCATTGGTGGTGGCCACTAGTGCCGCAATGGGCAGCCTTATCTGATGCACCTCCTTGCGGTGTCCCGCCAGAGCTGCCGGTGTAGCAAATCTCTAGTCACGTATTCTGTCGCTCTCATCTTCTTCGTGTGCTACACAATCACACCAGTCTGTTTTCTTGATGTCCGCGTCATCCTCCATAACCTCCTTCTCACTGACCTCTTCCCCCAATCCACGCTCGCACTCCTCAGTACCTCTGAATCCATACTCGTACAATGTTTCTACTCCTCATTTTAGGGGGCGAGGATCGTCCAGTCGGAGCTCCTACTGTCGTACCAATGGTGCATCGCTGCTGAGGCTTAGTTGCGGGCTTCCATATCTGTTTTTAGCTGGTGCGCCCATGGAGCTGACGTCTCCAAAAGTCATGCTTCACCCACGAGCCTGGAATTGCCGAACACCGCTGCCAGGACCCCCGCATGTCCCCTGGGGTGGAGGGCCCACCTCTCGTACCACGTCCCGCCTCTCGTACCACTTCGGTCTTCTGGTTCTGAGGGCTGCGGCAGTCCTCTCAATCCCCCCTGCCCAAAGATACTCGTGCCGTAGTGTGGCGCCGTGTCTGACCGTCCTCCCCGTCCCAGCTCCTTCGGCCCCCCCTGCAGGTCTACGCAGGTGCTCACCCATCGCCGCACCCCGTGAGTCGGTAAGCTTTGAACGCGGTGAGTCCACTCCAGGTTGCTCCCAGAACGAAGGTTGTGAACATCGTTCTCGTGATCGCGTCTGGTGTCGCCGAGCTTCAGAACGTCCCCCCTGTGTAGCCATGAGATCTGCACCGCCGCTTTCCACATCATGTCTCTTGCAAGTAGTACGGCCCAAGAACTCACATCTCTCGCTTTGAAGCGCCCTTGAATTGCTTGGCACATGTGAGCGTCCTCGCAATGGCGTGGTATCCCAGCCCGCTGACCCCTAGGAGGTGGTTCGTCACGTTTTGGTCGAGTCTCCATCCTCCTCCGTTTAGTGTTCGTTCGAGGTTCTCCGTAGTTTGATTCAGCTGAACCACAGTATTGTTCGCCCTTCTCTTGTGTGGTTTAAGAGGAGATCGCGCAAGGTCGTCCATTCAGGTGTTGTGACGGCTAGGCCGACTATTTCCTTGAGATCAGGTTGGTCGTGTCGACGTACCGTGCGTGGATAGGGCCGCTACGTTTGTCATGTGTTGGCCATCTGTTTACAAAGATACTACACGCATCGTTCGATCATAAAGGGCATAAGGGGAACCCCATGTGTGTCCCATGTGCAGTAGCAGCGTGCAACCACCCGTCTGCACAATGCATGTTCATAGTAGTGTTACTGATCGCGCACAATGCAAATGGTTGGTCCTCTTCCGTCGCGTAGCTCCAAGCAGGTGCATTCAGTAATCCGCTTGTAGTGTTTGCAAACGCGTTGAAACAGTCGTAGTAATTGTGCAATGTGCTCTCTCCCTGCTGCTGTGCTTTCCACTGAACTGTCGGAATGCATATCAGTGCATTGTCCCTCTATTCCTGTACTTGCGCGCAGGGTGTGTGGTCGGGTTGGGGTTCTCTGTCATGCACCCCCCCAATACTAGGCCATACTCATAGAGTCGCACGCGTGCATGCCTTCCTTCCCTTTGTGAACTCTCCGAGTCGAAGGATAAGGATCTGTGCCACGCCAGTGGTGTGTTCTGCACTTGTCGGCACATTAGTAGTACCTCGTCCAGCTTTCCCTGAAAGTCGTAGTGCCCTCCGTCCTTCACAGTCCGATCAGTTCCGAGTTTGGCCGTGTCAGGTCGGCCCATGAAATAGTTGTTCGCCGCACAAGCTTCCAACTCGTTGTTTTCCAGTCTGGTTCCTTTCGTTCCTATACGTTCGCCGCTGCTCCATCTCATATTATGTAGTGACCTCCTCCCTAGTGTGTCGTTGAACAGTGATTATTACGTCTCTAGGTCCGCCTCGTCCTTCCTCTTCTCTTCTGCCCTAATCCTCATCTTCCATCTGACGGCTGAGTCGTTCTGGATCATCTAGTGCACTTGGGGGTCCAGCACCATCCAGGTGAGTTGGGAGGACGAGGAGGAGGAGGAGGAGGAGGAGGAGGAGGAGGAGGAGGAGGAGGAGGAGGAGGAGGGGGGACTGCCATTCCGAGCCCTGGGGCCAACGCCAAGCAACCCGCGGAGCGAAATCCATGCAAAGATTGGGTCGGGAAGG